TGTGTACTGTCAATTTTATTTCAAATCACACAATAAGTTTAAATCACAAGATATTAGTAAATACCAATTTACATTAGTTAATCCGAGGGTATAAGTCCTTCCCATAATTGCAAATATATTCTTTCCTGCTAAGTCATTTGGGTTATCTAAGCTTAACCTTACATAATCATATCTATTATCATTACATAACATTTGTCCTGTAATCTTGGCTTATTGTGCACATACAACTGAATTATTATACCTGTTGTATCTCCATGTAAATTGATCAATAACTTCACTAATTATTTTATCACTTTTCAATTAAATAAAGAATTTTCTTTTTTATCCCACCGGATAAAACATTTTGCCAAATACTTTCTTCTTATATTGTGATCACTTATGTCCTTTTTGTTTTACACATAAAATAAACTAAATAAATAAACCATACACGGCAAAAACAAAAACAAATCAAAACGATATTCTGCAATTCCCTTTTCATGAGTGGTGGAATTTAGAAATACAACCTTATGCCTCTAAAACAATACCAAGGCAAGCATTACACAACTCTCCTTGTTTCCTAGACCACAAAATACAGTCAATCAAAACCTCTTAAAAATTCAAAAATGCAATCAACAATACTAAATCTTCTCTGTAAGATGGGCATTGATAACAAACAGTATAGGTTAGTTTTCAGTACAGTCTTTCTATTTACAAGTGTCTGGAAGCAATTACAAAATATTTATATAACAGGGAAGAGCAATCATCATGGCAGCTTAGATCGAGTTTTTGCCTGGTTTTTGCCAGCAAAAACTGCTCTCATTCACACATGCATGCACATTCCATCCATTAACGTACAGTCGACCTTTTGTGAGGGAAACTTTCACAGTACTGACTTAACCTAGTTTCTATTATGTATATTTTAAACATTACATTATTCCCCCTCTTCAGCAATAATGATTTGTATAAAAAAAGTATTTACAAGTCCTTCCTTGACACAGGGTATATTTTATATCCCCTCCCTTCCCAACGAATGAATCATTTTGATTGGAAAGAAAAGTTCGGAAAAAAAGAGTGAAAAAAAGAAAGAAATAGAGCTGGTAACCTGAAACATTCAAAGACACCAATAGCTCATTTCACATCACTTGGTTCCTGAGAACAACCATGAGAATAAAAATTGTAGTTGAGACCTCATTTTGTAGGAATAAATACTTATATATCTAATCACATATTCCTGGACAATGAACGTTTTTAAAGTTTTTCCTGTTGCTGGCTCAAACTCACTAGTACTATCACCAAACTAAGGGGTCGTACATGATAGGCAAGCAAAATGGTAAACTATAGCAATATGATTAATCCATAACTGATACAGTTAATGGGATGCTACGGTTTCTGAGAGTACTGAAAGTAAAGTATTCGTTCCCATGCAGTGCTTCTGGTCTAATCTCACTAGTGAGTTTTCCCACTATAACACTTTTTACATAGCAGAATACTATTTTACTCTATCTTCTTCTAAATACTCCTTTAAAATCACGAGTTACAATTGCATATAATTGCTACAGTAACGGCTAGTCCTTTACTTACATGATGCTAATGATATTCTTATTATCACTCACTGAATATGGTGGAAGACATGTCAAGGGAAAGTTTACACAAGGAGTGCGAACTTAATGCTTGCATGTGTCATCATAATACCAAATCATCACATGGATCTTGTCGAAGGAGACACAATTATTGATAATCATTCAAATAAAGGTCAGAGCTCATGATAATGACAAATAACTTACTAGAAATACTTGTAGAGGTAAAAAAGTTGTATGAAAACAATTAGGATTCGGTAAAGGTGACCGATTCTGATTAAACGAAGACAAGGTATTTACATGTCAAGAATGCATTAGACTACTTGTAACATAAATGGTAAATTGAATATCTCCGTAACATAAAGGGGGACAATCCGATACAAAATTTACACAATTTCCTTTCATAACCTGTCCACAGAGGAAGAAATCTGAGCTTAATCTACTGTTCTATTAGGGGTGGGATTGGGGGGGGGATGCCAAATTATTATGCGTTGCTACAAACAAGGAATAGCAAAGTTCTGTACCTTTTTATCATTCTACACAAAATAACATAACACACACACATTCATGCATCAGATGAGAAAGAAAGAAAAAAAAAAAACAGGTCGAGGAAACTGGCAAATAAAACTCTACATAGGGGAAATACCAACATATGTACAATTGGAAATGGAGGCATTATCAAAAACAAAAAAATGCAAAACAGAAAAAAAAAAAAAAAAAAAAAAAAATGAAAATAAATGAAAATAAAAACGTAGAATAATTACTACACCACATCTTTCTGCAAATATTTACAACACACCTAGCATGAAGTCTTAAAAAAAGAAAACATTAAATTTCTTTGCCATTATCAAACAAAATTTGTGTTTCTTATTTCATCAAGTAATAAGTTGCTAAAATAAAACCATTTCTTAAACTTTGTTGTAGTGCATATTAAAAATCTCAAATAACCACTTATCATCCGCTTAACCATAAAATTATAAAAAGGTTGAAAATTCCATGAAAAGGTAATAAGCACTGATGATCAGTTCTTTAATAGATAAGAAAAATTAATGTTTCTTTTACACATAAAACTAATAAATACAAATGACCCTTAAATTGTATGTGCTGAATTAAATTCTCATTCTTTCTTAAACACAAGAAAGGCCATGAAAAGGAAAGGGAAAAGAAAATACAAGAAAAAAAAGGGAGAGAGAAAAATAAAAATAAAAAACAAGGAAAAGAAAAAGAAAAGAAATAACAAAAGGAAGCAGGGGACGTAACAAGATGAGTGAAAGTGAATCTTGCTTCTCCGTTAACGTGAAGCATTACGAATGGACACTTATAACAAACTTAACATTAACCCTAGAAATGAGATATGTGATCTAGTCGGCTTTCTTCTTGCCGGGAGGAGGCTGGTGGATTGAACGAGGTCTTGTGCCGTTCTTGATGCTCTCTTGGTAAGTGAGGAAGATCTTGGCATACTCAGGTTTCCTCTTGGCGTGGGCCTCAAAGTCCTCTGTTTATGGGAAAGTGAAGGAGAGAATGGATAAGCATAATTCATACAATATCATATTTCTTGATTTCTTTGTAATACTGTGCTGAAGCAATCATAATGATGTGTGCAATATTATCATGATGGTGTGATGATATTATGTTTGTACAATATCACTATGTTTGGAGAATAACATTAGTGCAATAATGATTAAATGTTTCTGCAATAATGTTTTTGGTAAACCACTGGCACTCGGATACATGCTTGGCCAATGTAGTTTGTCTTGCGGCATGAGCACTTCCTCACCCAGAGGTAAAAAAAGTAGGCCTACCTGCCACATCCAATTACTCTATTCCTTGCATTTTCAACAAAAAGTTTTATTTTCTGTTGCAATTATTATTGTTGCTCTTATTACTATTGAAAATATAATTACTATATTATTCACGATACTAATAGTGATAAAAAAGTTAAAAAATCAAGGAAGAGAGTAAACAGGTAAATAGAATCGGCATGTCATTTTTTGTCAAAGAAAAAATTATAAATCAAAATCACACTAGATTCAACTTGTATATAAAAGCACTCCTGAAGTCAAGAGACAAAGTATGCTATGATCATGAAATAATAATAAAGATGATGATAACCCAAAAGAAGAAGTAGTAGTAGCAGCAGTAGTAGTAATAAAAATATTACTTAATTATAAAAGAGGTTTCAACTCTGACCCACATTTCAGTCTCTTCAATTTCACGCATTAAAAGAGAGAGGATACAAACCATAAGTGATATAGCCTTTGCTATCCTGATCTGCTTGCTTAAATATCCTGGTGGTCTCCTCAGGCGTCATGTCCAAAGATGCCCGAAGAGCCTTTATGAGATCGTCCAGGAGGATGTGGCCCTTCCCTCGACGGTCAAAGAGCTTGAAGGCCCACTTGAGGGTGTCTTCTGTGTTAGCTGGCTGCGCGTACTGGCAGTATCCCATGAGGTATTCACGGAAGTCTATTGTGCCAGAGTTATCCTGAGGCGAAGAGGAAGCATATGCTAGTTATGTATATATTTAAAGAATAAATCAAAACGTTCTAAAAAGAAAAACCAAACAGATACAGTGAACAAAAGAATATACAGTTTGGTATTATGTAAATACATGTAAACTGTGATAACTTGTAAGTAATCATATTGAATCTAAATGATTCTCATGGTGGCTCTGAGGTGAAATCTTATAGGTCTGAAAAAGAAAGAAAGAAAGACAGAAAAAAAAAAACACTGACCATTCCATCTTTTCCCCTTGAATTAAAAACCTTGAGAAAACTGGAATCATGAATACAGACAGGGAAATAAAATATTTATATTTACATTTGGGATACATCAGCTACATTTAGCTATACTTCATATAATTTTCTAAATATATAGAGATGACTGCCTGTGCCAGTCATCAACAGCCATAAAAACATGTACTCATAGAGCTCAGAATTGTTCTGATCTCTAAATTTGCCATCCATAAACTGCCTCTGCAAATTCAGTATTTCTGGGCATTATATCAATGCAAATCTTAAAAAGGATATCCAAGTACCTTTATGATATATTTTCTATCAAAAAACGGAAAGAATATCTGTGCCTTAAAATACACTAAAACCTATAGGGGATAGTACCATGGGGTAAGTCATCTCAAAGCAAGGAATTAGTGTAGAAAAGCAAACTGATGAAATGAACCACATGAGTAGAGGAGTAGCCAATAATTCTGGCTTTCACTAAGCAGTAATTTACTCTGAGTAAGTTGAATACTAAAGGGTGACCTAAAACATATTGTGAGATGTAGATTTTCTAAATAAAAAAAATGGTAGATTATGTATTATCAAATTTTCTTCTGAAGGCCTAAATCCTGAAAAGTTAATTGTATCTTCACCAAGTACAGAATTTGAACATTCGTGCTGATTATCATAATGCCATCTATTTTTCAGTGTGGATGCTTATGGATGATGTGCAGATGAGTGATCAGTAGATACCCAAAACACTTCTTTACCAGCAGTTCTCCTTTTGGATGTGCTATTGTAATCAAAGGCATGAGAATCACAGTGAGCTCTGGCTTTCAAGAACAATATAAATCTCAAACCTGTCTAATGTAATGTTCGTCTTTGTCCATCTCTTTTTGTTAGCACATTTAATTACAGGAAATTGTTACGTCTGAAAGTCCAGGGATGTAAAATCTATTGACAACAAATAATTTAAATATCTGCATCCCAGTGGATGTTGAGCAGTCAAACAGTGACATGATCTCTCGATGCATTATACTCTATTGATGATGATTCTGCATTCTCAGTTGTTAGAGGTTATCTGCAAGTATTGCCAGTGCAAAGCAATTTCATCAGTAGACTACTATGAACTTATTCTGGACTTTATTTTTCACATTCTACTAAGTTGGCAAATTTGACAACACTTTGAGCAGCCGGTCCCTAGTCTGTTGAATATTTCTCACCATACACTGCATGAAACTTTAAACCATACTGACATTTAAGATGCTATTACCAACTTTAATCATAATCACTTGTAATTCCCATTCCTTTGTGAAATATTATGGCTTCTTCTTTCATCCCATCAACTCAACACATTCACTTTGGTGTAGTCTAAAGCTCTTCACAAGAACCTTATTTAGTTCCGTATTTTTACCTTCATTCAGGGATTTACCTTATTAAATATCTGCTTCTTTGTATAACTTTCACTATGCAATCTAAGCAATTTTCCTTTGTTTCTTTATGTCTTGAACTGTAGATGAGCTACTGCTGAAGATATCACAAGCTTTGTACAGAAATGACACTGTTTTTTTGGTTTGTTTTTTAATTGTCCCTTCTCTGTTATGGACAATACTTCCTTTATCTAACTGTAGCTGTGACTGGGGCTAAATGTAGGCAAGTTAAGATAAAAATGCACAAAAGACACTTGAGACTGTTAGCAGAAATGACATTAGTACCGGAATATTTAGTGAACTGCATAACCGACTGCCAGAAAACCAACTGTCGACATGTGATACATACCAAACTCTGTCAATAATCAATGTGAAACATGCAAGCTTCCTTTACAGGTTGAACAAATTGAACAATAACCTATACATAAGCTTACCTTGTCATAAAGGTGGAAAAGTTCAACAAGAGCTGGTTCATGCTCCGGTATCCCTAAATATTTTGCAAAGTCAGAGAGAGTTATTTTGCCGTCACTGACAGCAATGTCTGCATACTGAGTCAGGAGTTCTTCCTCAACATTCTTCAAATTCAGACTGGAAAATAATAATGGTAATAATAGTAATGATAATGATCATAATAATAGTAATAATAATAATAATAATAATAATAATAATAATAATGATGATGATAATAGTGATGATCATAATAATAATAATAATAATGATAATAGTGATAATAATAATAATAATAATGATAATGATATGATGATCATAATAAAATGATGATAATAGTGATGATCATAATAATAATAATAATAATAATAATAATAATAAATAATGATAATATGATAATCATAATAATAATAATAATAATAATAATAATAATGATAATGATGATAATAATAATAAAAATGATGATAATAATAATGATAATGATCATAAAAAAATAATAATAATACATAAAACAAAAATTATACTGCTGCATATTATACTAACTATTGTAGTATCAAAAACAAAATTTTCTCTCATTCATGTAAAAGGGCCTTCTACTAGAAAAATAAAATCTTTTTGCTTAAAAGAAATAAATTGTAAATTATAAGAGATAGAGACGTTCCCTAAAATACACACCCAAGGCGACAGCGGAGCTTTTGGAACTCAATTAATCCAGTCTGGTAAGGCAAATTCTTCAGTTTGGCCTTGTGCATTAGGCGGCAATCGTCATAGGTGTAGTCTGCAACAGGCACACCGAGGGCACTGGAATATCATGGATTTAAATCAATTAATTTTCCTTGTATATCAAATAATACCATTTCCACTATCTAAAAAAAAAAATAATAATAATAATAAATAAACAAAACTGAATTACCCTAAGTATGAAAATGAAATTGTGTTATAGTGGAGAATATTACCAAGTCTTTATGTAATTTCTCTTGACAAGCAGCTTCAACAAAATGTTTTTCTAATGAACAATTACATGAGTCTCTAATTTACCTGCCTCATACTTTTTTGCTATTCCTTACACTAAAAAAGGATGAAGAAAATGAGGAGGAGGGGAAGGGAGAGGATAATAAGGATGAGGATTAGGACGAGGAAGAGGTGGAGAGGAAAAGCAGGAGAATAATGATAAGAGAAGAAGGAAGCAAACAGGAAAGAAAAGGGAGAGAAAAAGAAAGAGGAAGAGGAGGAGGAGGAAGAAAAGCAGGAGAAAGAAAAGGATAAGGAGAAGGAAAAGGGAGAGGAAAAGAAAAGGATAAGGAGAAACAAAAGGGAGAGGAAAAGAGGAGCATTAGGAAAAGCAGGAGAAAG